GATGTGGGGGGGAGGAGGGATGGGTATGGAGGAGGGGACTTGTGGAGATGAGCACTGGGTGTTATGTGACTTTAACAAGTCAAATCTTTATAGAAAATAGGAGCCAGAAACCTCCTGGATCCATGTTGTACAACAGAACACTCCAAGGAGCTAAAAGCATGGCATGAAAGGAGCACACACATTTCCTCTCCGTGGGGAAATGTGCAAGTGCAAGTGCTCCCAGAACGGACGCTGTTGTGGGGGGAGGGCAGAGGCCCCACACCTGGGTTTTGGAGGTGGAGATCTGGCTCTGCCACCTACACATTAGATGACCTTCGGCAGGTTGTTTTATCTGTTTGGACCTGATGTCACATGGGGATTAGTCATAAGACGTTTCTCATAAAGTGGTTGAGAGAAAGAAAAAGAACCCAGCCTATATTCAATAAATAGTGGGTATTATTTTAATTAAAGTTAAGTTTATTTGAAGAAAAGTGAAAATTATGGGGAACTAAGAAAAATGATTAGAAAGATGTGTAAGGGCAGATTACGCAGCTCTTAAATTCCAGGTTACAAAGTTTAGATTTTGTTTAGACAAGGAGGAGGGGGGGGCTCTGAAGATTTTGAGCAGGAGTAAGACACAATGACAGATGTGCTTTTTGAAGTTGATCTGGAAGTGCTGTGTGCAGGGGGCTTGAAGGGAAATATCAGGAGGCAGAAGAACCAACTAGGAAGCTACCATTTGGTCCAGTGAGACCTGAGGAAGTCTGACCTAGGGCAGTGGTAATGGGGTTGAAGAGGGATGTTACTGGGACAGAACTGGCAAAATTTTGTTAAAATATGGCTCCTGTGTGTTCCACCTTTGTGGCTGGGTGGATGGTAGTGCTCAGTATTTCTTCAAGGAAGAGCCAACAAGCATCCTGTCTGTGATCAAATTTTGGTATACTTCAGTGGACTATTGGTTCTTATTTGAAAAGAATTTAAGTCTAGTTTTTTTTTTTTAAAGTACAATCAGTAAGAATGTAGGATTCGCCAACAGAAACACCCTCCACAGCAGACCTGGCTGGAATACATCTCTTCTTTTTAAGTGACTCCTTAAGACTTCCCAGCCCACTGCAGTGCCGCCCAGGTTAACCACATTTGTTTGCTGCTACGAAGATGTTTGAACGGAGGCAAGATCCTGAGCCAACTCCTCTGGCTCTTCTTCCTAGAGTGTCTGTATTCTACTCCCCACCCAAACTGGTTGAAAACATGAGCAAATCCGATCCTAGCACAACCATGTTGAACAGTCTGTTCCTTCATTCTCCTTATGAAAGAACTCAGCCTGGCCACAGAGGCACAGCCTCCCCAGGGAAAGCCATGCTGAGACCTAGTATCACATCCACTTTATCTGTGTTGTACTATTCTGTCCTTCTTTAAACTCCCCATCTGTTGTCCTGATACTGAGGTGAGGCTTAATGGTCTATAATCCCCAGGTTCCCCGTGATGCCTCTGAAAAAGATTGGGTCCCACATTAACAACTTCTCAGTTTTTGGCCACAGTGTCTTTTGTAATCCCATTTCTCTGGTGACTATTTCATACATCACATCTATCCATACTCCAGAAAAGGGGGGGTGAGGGTCCCACTGTCCTTGCTGCTCATATCCAGCTCCCAAGGATATACATATATACACACACATATTTTTTAATGTTTACATATATATAACATGTATATATATGTATATATTAATCTTTGTTTATTTTTGAGAGAGAGAGCGAGAGCGAGCAGCCAGGGAAGGGGCAGAGAATCCAAAGCAGGCTCCAGGCTCTCAGCTGTCAGCACAGGCTCAGAGCCAGACACGGGGCTTGAACTCACAAGCTGTGAGATCGTGACCTGAGCAGAAGTCGGATGTTTAACTGACTAAGCCACCCAGGCGCCCCACCCAAGGATATATTTTTTTGAAAGAGGCTTTAAATGTATTAATCAATTTATTTTAAAACGTGTATTTAGGCCTATTGCATGCAAATTATTGAATAGACAATGCTGGAGGCCTCTTCAAGATGAAAGAGACATATAGTCCTTGTTTTCAAACGAGGTTAGAATCCAGTGGGGAGATTAGCATATACACAAATGAGACAAGTGAGGCTGTGTAGTGTGGGCTTGAGGAGGAGGAGGGTGGAAAGCTAAGTGGGGGTTAAATCTGTGACTTCTCAGCTAGAAGATTTAACTTTTATATTGAGGACAGGGTACTTTTAAAACCCTTTCTCTGCAGAATGGGTGATGGTAGAATCCAAGAAGGCTCTGGGGACAGGTGGAGGGCCCATTTCAGTGCCATCTCTGAGGCTTATTAAATATAGAGTGTCCATTTTGACCAGAACTGTAGCCCAGAGTTGTGGTTGAAGGGGCCATTTTGTTTATGTGAAGACAGAAAATATGTAAAAAAAAGTAGCCAAAATACCATCTTTAATGATATATAAAGGAGATCAAGACAGTGTGCTGTGTAAGTAATTATGGTTTGTTTAAAGCTAGAACTCAAGTTAGGCTTCTGCTAATTAGCTAATTAATTAATTTTTGGGGGCCTTGATTGTTTTCAGACTAAGGATCTCATTAACACAGCCTCTAATAGAAGACACATTTTATGTAACATTCCATGTGCAGAAATCATATGAATTTATTGCACATGTAGTTTCTATTTTTCCATTTGATCCTCATACTAGCCCTGTAAACAGCACTTGTCTTAGTTCAAAAAAAATTGTGGGACTTGTTTCAGTTTTTCCCCAACCAGAGAGTAATTTCTGGAAGTCAAGGAGCGCCTTGCATCTCCAAGGCCAGAAAAGAACTGAACTGGAGAATTTGAGATAGAGCTGTGGCAAATCCTCACAAGTTTCCTCAGTTCTGTGCTTTTACTAAAGAACAGAATAGCAACCAATGTTGGGTAGCCTGGATCAGCTGGGACCACATCCAAAGGAACATCTCTAATGCTGGAGACATTGCTGGAACCCTAAGGTGTTCAAGGCAGATTTCAGCAAGATCAGAAATTCAGAAACTGTTGGGTTCACACAAAAAGATAAAGACTTCAGTACACAGGTCCGGGGCTAGTAAGGGATGAAGCCAGGGGGAGGTCAGTGCATTCATAGTTCTGAGACCGTAGATATGTGCTCTTCTTCCAGAGGATGTCGTCAGCCTCACCTGCTTTTATCTTTAGTTTTCTATGGCCTCTCGTCATAATGGGCAAGGATTCAGGAACCTTGCGGTGGCTTCAAGCAGTTAAAACATACCTGAGATCTCTAAAGCAGAGACACACCTTTATCATTGTCCGTGTCCTTAGTTTAGCCGGGACTTCATCCTTTAGTTGGACTTGAGGTTCCATTGATGGGGACAATATCCACAGCAATCCTGGTATACTGTATTTCCAAGGTGGCAGTGTGGACAATGTTTAATAGAAACATCCTCTTGGGAAGAGTTTTTCTTCTCCAAGGCAGGATCAGGTAATGCGGCCTCCTATTAATTAAATTTAAGGATTCTAATGTAACAACTTAGGGGACACTGGTTTTTAAATCATAGAATAAGAAAAAGCAGTGGTACATGAAGCCTGTGATAATCATGGAGTATGATTATCACTATTATTTTGGCTTAGGACCCAGGACCCAGGAGAACATAAATTCTGTCTCTGCCCAACCTCTTCTTTTTCTTTTTTATGCATTTACAAGTATATGCATCAACAAAGAACAAAGGCAAAGAAAGCTACATTCACATTTTATTGTCCACTGGGATTGAGACCCAGTCCAGCACAGAGAACTTTGGCAGGCTGGGCTGGGGTTATGGAGAACTCAAGAGCTTTAGCCAAGGGTCGATTTAACGTGCTTGTTAACACAAGGGCAAAAATACACAGAGTAAAAGAGACTTATCTAGGTGCCAAGTTGGCTTAAACTGCCCAGGCAGTAGCCTCAGGACTACCACTGTTAATCAGTTTTTTATCTTATGTTTAATGTCTTTTGTGTCCTGAGTAAAAATTCTTTGCCAATTTCAAAGTCTCAAAGATTTCTCTCATGTTTTCCTCTAGGAGTTTTATAGTTTTAGTTTTCTGTTTTGTTCAACGATCTATGTCAGGTTAATTTTTGTGCATGATGTGAGGTAAGGTTGAAGTTCACCTTTTCCCATACAGATATCCAGTGATTCCTGCAACATTTATTGAAGACTGCCCTTTCCTCATTGAAGAACTTTGTCACCTTTGTTGAAAATATATATGTGTGAACTCTCTAATCTGGTTTGTTGATCCATTTGTCTATCCTTATACCAATACCACACTGTCTTGATTACTGTAATTTTATAGTAAGTCTTGAAGTCAGGTAAGTCTTCCAACTTTTTGCTTCTTTTTCAAAATTGTTTTGGATGTCCTCAATCATTTGTAATTCCGTATATATTTTAGAATCAGTGTGTCATATTTCTACCAAGAAAAACTGGGGTTTTGACAGGGATAGCATTGAATCTATAAATAAATTTATATCTTAACAGTATTGAAATTCAATCTATAAATAAATTTATCTTAACAATATTGAGACTTGAAATCCATGAACATATGTATATCTCTTTCTTTTTTTATATCTTTCAATTTATTTAGTTATTCTCAATTTATTACAGCAACATTTTGTAGTTTTCAGTGCACAGGTCTTACATATATGTGTTAAATGTATTCCTAAATGTTTTATTTTTTATGTTACTGTAATTGGTATTCTTTGATTTCATTTTCTTTTTTTTTTTTTTTTTTACAAATAGTTTATTGTCAAGTTGGTTTCCATATAACACCCAGTGCTCATCCCCACAAGCACCCTCCTCCACTTTGATTTCATTTTCTAATTTTTCACAGGTAGTCTGTGAAACTATAGTTGATTTCATATAATTACCTTGTAACCTGTGACTTTGCTAAATTCACCTATTAGTTCTAGTTTTATGTAGATTTCTTAGGATTTTATGCATACATAATTATGTTTTATTTCACATGACTTTTTACAAAATTTTACATGCCTTTTAAAAACAGTGATACTGTCTACTTTAAAAAGTGGTTCAATTCTTGTCTTGGGAACTGACCAATGCAATTACTATTTCCTCATCTTTGGGAAGTCATGGAGGATACTGTCCATCAAGGAAGCCATGTTGATTATACAGTAAATCAGTAAGCAGCAGTCACTGGAAGATTCTTCGACTACATAGAATAGGAAAGAGGTTGATAAATGCCTCTTGGTATTCCTTCTGAAGACAGAGGTAGATGGAATGGGAGAAAAAAGGTCAGAGAAAACCAAGGAGTAAAGGATTTCTAAGGACCGTGGGTTGGGCCAGTCATCTAATCAGTTCTTCCAAAAGAACGGACTTTTTGGAGCAGGTGTCTGGGCTGTAGCAGAATCTGCTAAGATATCCCACTCTTAATGAATTATTTGTGTGGGCAAATGTTATCAGTATCTCCAGGGACTCTAATATGCTAAACAGGACACTGCAATACTGGCATGGGTACTGGCCTGGCTTTCCCCTATGTTTCCTTGGTCATTATTTGGAAGATGACTTGAAAGAAATAAGGTTATCTGGGAAGTTAACGACTGCCTAAGACACATGTCTAAGAATGGAATTTGGATTTGGAGATCAAGGTGTTAGAAACTGAAATTATGAGTTCCTAGTTAAGACACTAATTTAAGTGTCTGGAATTTAAAACATTGGAATTTTGAGAAAAACAAAAACTTTGGAGTTAGACAAACCAGGGTTCAAATCTCATTTCTGAGGGATGTTCTCCATTTTCCTCCAGACTCAGTTTCCAGCATTCCTTGCTCTGTGTGCTGAGTTGCTGACCTAAGATTTGCTCTCTTGCCTCCTGCTGGGTTTAGCCAATAGGAGGTATAGGCAGGTAATCAGAGATGAGAAGTGAGGTCAGGATATTTGTTTTTCCAGCTCCCTCTCAGTTGGGTTGCAGTTTGGCCATGGCTGCTCCTGACAGTTGGCCCTTTCCTACAGCTTTATCTCCAGATTTAAGTAACTACTGGCTTTTCTTGCCCCTTCATGCTCAAGGATAGTAAAAGCTTTCTGCTGTTTCTATTAATGGGCTCCTTTATACTTCTTGCAGGTTTTCTGTAACTCTGTATACCTTTTAGTGTTCCCTTCATTCAATTTTCTTCAGTCATCTCTTTTGAGGATGTCATCTAGACCCTGTTAGACCAGCCCATCTGCTTACTAGCTTTGGAACTTTGAGCAAGTTATTTCTGTAACTGAGTCTCAGTTTTTCGTCTATAAACTGGAAATAAAGATATCCCTTGCAACAGTAAGGGATAATAGATGTGAACAGCTCATAGTAACTACCCAATAAGTGGTACTTAGCATCATCATTAGTAGTAACTGTAATCACATGAGGACTGGCAAGATCATGGTGTCCTCAGTGACTGTTCAGAAAAAGTTGTGGAGCTGGCTACTAGTTATCCAAAAGCACAAGATTGGGGGTGGGGGCAGGGAGAATCTCGGGTCATGGAAGGTGAAAACTAGGCAAAGGGTTGGAAAGACTTACTAGTACTGCGAAATAGAATCATGTTGATATTTTAACATAAGAAGGGAGGTACAGCTTTAGGAGTCTCAGAAACTTGATGGGAGGATCTCAAATATGGTAATGGAGGTGTTCACCTTGTTAGCAAAAGCAGGTATGGTAGTGCTACACATCACAGGACAAATCCTTGAATGGCGATGCATTCAGCTGTGAGTCAAATCTTGAGAAAGGCAAAAATAGAAAAGAAGAGAAGTTATTATTGACATAAGGGCATTCTGAAGATCATCAGCCAGAATGAAAAGAATGAATCCCTGACTCAGCCTACAAATCTGGTAAGGAAGCAAGGTGTCTACATGTTGTATCTTGATTGTCCCCAGCTCACTTCTATACCATCACTTAATACCCACTGCTACTCTGGCTGGCTGGCCCTTTCCCTCCTTCATGTCTCAGTCTCTTAGAAGAGCCCACAACCAATTTTGGTGGAAAGCTCTCTTAGTTCACTCGCTGCTCCCTTCTTTCCAGGGAGCACACATGTCTTTGTGGATGGAGGAGTCAGAATGGGTTCAAACAGAAGCTCTCCATCATGGTTCTTGCAACCTCTCTCCCCATAGACTCTCAGGCTTTGTCTCTGAGTCTAACTAGTCATGCAGAACCCTTCATCTTTGGATGTAATTTATGTCCAGGGGATTCTGCAAGTCCTATTGCAATTTACTTTCTGTTGAATGCCCCTACCTTATCATTTCCTCTCCTATGCCATATATATCCGAGTTCTTTTCCCAGGAGGCTTCTGAACTCCCCCCAAATTCAAATAAAGCTGGAAACCAGAACGTGTCATACCTAAGCAAACTTCAGATTCTGCACAGCTTCTAATAAATCCTTCCTTGACACACAATTTTTTTTCTCCCAGCAGGTAGATGAAGTGATGAGATCGTTGCCTGTACTTAATTGTAATAGAAAGGAGAGGAAGCTTGAGATAAAGAGCTTGTGTGAGCCAGGGGGAGAAAAGAAACCCAGAGAAAAGATTCAGTCAGTTTGAAATTCTGAAGTGGTAGATGTCTCAATAGGGGCTGGGAAGGTCCCCATTTGGATATTCTGTCTATGAAATTGCATTCAATTCTGATGACAAAGAAACAGAGGTGGTTTCTAAATAGAAGGAATCCTTTGGCTTCTCAGGGAGCTCTGTGTGAGCTCAACTCTTCAAAGGACATTACCGGAAACCAAAGAATGAAAATAAAGGATGGTGAAGATTTGTGCAAATGACGTCAGAAAAGCAAAAGCTCAGGATAAATCCTGACTTGTGAACAATGTTCAGGACATCATAAAAGGCACAGAATGCTATTTGGAGCAAGTTGAAGAGTGAACAAGGCAAAAGCAAATGTCTTGGGTAAATGCTTTCAAGGCTGTCCCAAAACACTTGGCCTTCATTTGCTCTGCCAAGGAGAATGACCTTATGAATGGAAAGGGTAGAACAATCTGGGCAGGGGGGTGGGAGGGCATAAAAAAGATCAGTGAAGCCCAGACTGGTGAAGAGTCTGTGAGTGAGCCCAAAGCTCCCAGCCTCCTGCCCAGGAACATTGTATTCTAGGGAACTGTGAGACCTTGCAAATGAGATTACTGGGCCACTTCTGGTTATCTCAGAGGAGCAGTGAAAAATGGGGGATGTGTCAGAAGACTAGAATCAGCTAAGAATAGTCATGATTTTCTAAAAGGGGAAAAAGTGGGTTATGTAGAAGGATTGTAAACTTAAGTGTTTTACGGAGACCAGAAAATAACTAAAGAGTCAAGTAGGGCGGATAGAGACCCCAGTGAGCTGGAAAAGGCAGGCTCCTTCTTAAAAGGGCAGCTGTTACAAAGCTCCAGCTCTGGTTGTAGCCATGCCCAGAATGGTTGGAGCTTCACCATTTTAAAGTTAAATTTTCAAATTTTCAAATGGGGATCACGATTTAATTTTTCTTAAAATATTGTACAGGCTGAATTAAATAGGTTTGTAGATGGATAGGGCCAGTAGGCCACCAGGGATTGACTTCTGCCCATAGATTTGCCATTTTGTAGCTCAGCAGCTAGGATAGTCTATTAAATGATCACCTGGAAAGCATTTGAAAGGACTGATAATCCTTGGGAGCTACGCAGGTTCACTAAGGACCAATACCAATATGCCAGACTCTAACCTCTCTCAGATCTTGGATTCTGTGACAGACTTGGTGGTGTGATTTCAGCAAGACTCTGACAAGGATAACCACGTTCTCCTGGGGGACCAGATGGAGAAGTACAAATGGAATATGAGTACTTCTAGGTAGATTCTTAGCTGAATTGAAAAACTATGTTCAAAGTCGATGGATTAATAAACCAATACTGATAATAGGTTGATTGATTAATAAACCATTATTGACCAACAGGAAAATCTCTGTTTTCTTGTCTCTGACCAGCTACACTTTAGGAGCCCAGAAATAAGCAAGAATTAGCTTATGGCTTGACTGCTGCACGGTGCAGTGAGAATATGAACTCTTTGATCTTGGCTGTGCATTTTGTAGCCCAGGGGTCAGCAAACTGGCCCAGTGTGTATGACTAAAGTTTTGTTGGCACGTAGCCACACCCATTCTTCTGCACTTTGTCTCTGGCTGATTTTGAGAGATAGGGACAGAGTTGAGTAATTGCAACAGAGACTAAATGGCCTGCAAATTCTAAAATATTTACTACCTGTCCCTTCACTAAACAAGTGTGCCAACTTTCTGATGTGGCTAAACATCATCCTAGTAATCTTAGTGACCTTATTAGACTGTTGACTAATATTGGATTTGTCAGTAATGGTCAATAAAAGTTGAATGTCTGTATCATACAAATTGATATCAAGCTATGTCTTAAATCCTAGATTGAAACAATTAATTTAATTACTAAAAGAGCAGAGCTTTAAATTTATTCCTGATAAAATGTAGCTTATTGTTTTGTAATTCTTTGCCCAATGTCTTGATAATACCTTTGGCTTTGTTTGATGCATCCCACTTTTGAAGTAGGCTGGGATGGGCTCTCATGGTGATCTCAGGATTCAGGATTCAGAGGCCTGGTCAGGAGTAGATCTAATTTGGGGGCAAGTTCAGCATGAAGACCCAGGAGAAGACTTAAGGCTCAAGGTCAGAGAAGCCATGCCCATCATCACCATGATGGACAAAGGCAGGGCAAGAGGTCAGAGGGTGAGTAAATGCAAAAGCAGGACTAGAAGTGAGCTCAATGTGAGTGTAAAGTCAACAGAGTTCTAGATTTTTGTCTTTTAATGGGGAAAGGGTTTCTATCTATTCCTTGATGCCTACTATGAGAGTAATTAGATGAGTTCAAGAGGGTGGCCCCCATGATGGGATTAGTATCTTTATAAGAAGAAAAGACTAGAGCTTACTCTATGTGCCTTTGGAGGACACTGCAAGAAGGTGGTCATCTGCAAGCCAGGAAGAGGGATTTTACCAGAAACGTAATCTCATGCCCCTTAATCTTAGACTTCTCAGCTTCCATAACTGTGAGAAATAAATGTCTGTTGCTTAAGTCCCCCCAGTCTGTGGTATTTTGTTATAGCAGTCCGAGCTGACTAAGACGGATGTCATCAGTTTTACCCTTTAAAAAAAAATTCTGGCTAAAAACACATAACATGAAATGTGTCATCTTAACCATTTTTAAGTGTATAGTTCAGTAACATTAAGTTCACTTACATTGTTGTGCAACAGATCCCCAGATCTTTTCATCTTTCAAAACCGAAACTCTGTACCCACTAAACAAGAACTCTCCATTTCCCCTCAATTTGACTTTTTAAAACAAAAATTTATTAAAGCAGCTGAAGAGAAGCACTACCAGATATTTAAAAGTGTACTTCAAAAGCAAAATAATAAAGAAAAGTAGATGCAATCTGGTATATTTTCATTGCTTGCTAATTAGTATCCTCTTTTCCACTTATGTCTTCAAAGGGGAAAAAAATGTAATTCCTTCTCCCGTTTACCTGCTTGAGCATTTAGAGTTTCAGGGGCTGGGACCCAGGTTTTTGCCTCTTGGTAGAAAAATCCCAGTTAGTGTTCTTCACAGCCTTAAGTGGCCTGTGGAAGAAACCCTGAAGGAGGGCGTGCCCCCTCTCGGCTGGCATGCCCCAAAGGCTTATTTTTAAAGAACCAATTCCTATTGCTGCTTTCCTTCTTGCTACTGAAGAAATTCCCTAGGGTTTTAGAATTCTTTCTCTCCAGAGTTCTCTTTTTTCATACTTCTTCCATACAGCTTGACCAAAGCGCAAAGAGGTTATAACCACATGCATTCCACTTTTGTTTTGGTACAAAATACGGTCATTTTCTCTGCCCTGATGAGAAAGAGCTTTCCAGTGCCTAAAAATGAGCCGCCATTCTCCAGCTTACTTCTTAAGTAATTTCCCCCTATATGCAACTGTCCTGTAAATGTTAGTGGTGATTTTTTTCCTTTAAATACAGATTGCTATTTGAAAGTGCCAGGACTTCTTCATCTTTATACAACACAACTTTTAAAAAAATGGAAGTATCTTTGTATTTTCTGAAAGTAGGTGATTGTTGTAAAATAATACAAAGGTTAGAATAAAAATGAAAGCCTTCTTATAATCACAGCCTAAAAGATTACCCATTATGTCTTAAAAAAGAGAACAACAAAATTTAAACAGAATTCCACAAGAGTCTTAATTTGTCAATTCAGAAGAGGCTGTCTTAATCATATCTGAGAGCTGACACAGAGTGTGGCATCAACACTGAATTTGTATGGTTCAGGGTCAGGATTCTAGAGTCAGAGAAACCTGGGCTTGACAATGCTCACTACAACATACTAACTGTGTACCCTTGAGCAACTCTATTACTCAAAACCTCTGCTTTCTCATCTTCAGTGTAGGAATAGTAATCATCTTTAAAGTAGGGATAGCTACCCCGAGGCTTGGGAGATGATAGGACATAGAACATGTATAGTATCTAGCATTAGTGCCTGGGATATAGTAGGTGCTCAGTAACGGTAGTGTCATAATTACAACTATTAGGTTTTTAAAAATTCTTTGTAATGTGCTAAAATACATGTAACAAAATTTAACAGCTTAATAATTTTGTAAGTTACAGTTCAGTGGTATTAAGAACATTCACCTTGTTGAATAACCATCCCCACCATCCACCACTATATTAATTATTAATATGGCTCTAATGCCCTGTCCTGGAAAAAAAAAAAAAAGTGAATTTACCTCTCTCCTGTGTGAGGCTTTGTCAGAATAGAGTCCTTCCTCGTCTCAAAATCTTTTCAAATCTGGTCATATGTTTCTGGCTAGATTTTGAAAACCCCTTCATATGAGGTGTTCAAGGCATCAGGCTGATTCTAGTGTTAGCTGGTGTTCATAGCTGTAGAGGTGGGGGCTCAACAGACCTGCACAGCTACTCTAGGGTAAAATTAATTCCCAGACGCCCTTGCTGACACTTTGCAGTGTCTTCCTCAGCAGACGTTTCTGCCGGCTGCCGGCCCAGGCTCTGCTAATGGAGGTTTATAAAGGCCTTCACAATTCCTATGGTAACCCAGGAGAAAGGCTGTTGCCATGGGGACTAGTCAAGCCCGTATAAACCTTCCATCTCTGTCAGACAGATGAGAACGATATGAGAATGAATCTTTTACTAGTTCACCTTCTGAAATTGCTAACAATTATCTCTGTTTTTGGAAAAGGGTTCATCATTTCTTTCAGGTGGAAACTCATTCACATTTTCAGCTTTAAATAAGTATTATTTCAAACCTTGCCTGATGATCTTGGTGTCAACCAAAGTCACTCAGGGACTGAAATGGCTGGTGATGGAACCATTTTCAAATTTCTCCAGTGTTACCAGCCAGTAAATAAGATATATCACAAGCATGTGAACTTCATGTTGTTTTGAAAGAAGAATAGGTTTCTTTGACATGCATTAACCCTGAACATGTGTCTATTAATGCACTTTTACATTGTTTTACAGTTAACTCTAGGAGAATCTGAGCTCCATGCAGGCAGGGTCTATATCCTTTCTGCCTCCGTATCTCCAGCATCTAGCCCACTGCAATCTTAGGGATTCACTAAATGAATGAATCAGTAAATCAACATAAACCCATATGTTGATGATGGCAGAGATAACAGTATTGGTGTCTGGGTGTGTGATAAGTAGAAGTTATCTCTAAAACATTTATTCACTTATCAAAAGACAATTTATCAATGCCTACCGGGTTCATTCCTTTCATGATGAAGTTCCTACTTTTACTTCATGGAGTCAGTCTCCAGGTATATGAAACTGAACAGGACAAGGTCTCCATCTTCCTGGAGCTCTTGATCTGTAGGTGAGACAAACACGACTGCCAGAGTAAAATAAGATTGGTGTTAGAGTAGAGGTATAGCCTCCTAAACCATATTTAATTCTGACTGGGGCTCAGAGAGAGAGAAGATGAAGTTTGAGTGGGGCACTGACAGATGAGTCGGAGTTCCACAGGCAGGTGAGGCAGGTAAAAGGTGGTTGTGTGGGGAAGAGGAAATGAGGCACGTAAGGCAGCAGGAAGAGCATATGTCATAGAACATAGTGCACTGAGGGCATGGTACTTGGTCTCAGGTGGCTAAAATACAGGTTTTCTGAAGGCTGAGAAAGGAGGCAGACCTGGGGCCAGATTACTGTGCAGAGGAGAGAGGGAGAAGTTCTACAGAATGCTTCCAGGATGTGAAAGCAGGCCCAGGTCTGGAGTTACAGCATGAGGAAGCCACCATTGAAGGCGCCAGGCAGTGAGAGGACCAGACCTGCTTTTAGGACAGCCAAAGGGCATGGCAGTGTTGGGGAAGGTGGCCAGGAGGTAGGGGCTGATCTGTAGAGGCAGATCTCTTTTAGAAGGTAGTTAGAATTTTATGTTTAAATTCCAAACATGGGAATTTTTGAGTCATCTTTTTGTGACTGATATCTAACTTAATTCCACTGTAGTCAGAAAACACTTTCAATGATTTCAATTTTTTGAGATTTTTTTAAAAATATTTTTTATTTATTTCTAGGAGAGAGAGAGACAGCGTGAGCAGGGGAGGGTCAGAGAGAGAGGGAGACACAGACTCTGAAATAGGCTCCAGGCTCTGAGCTGGCAGTCAGCACAGAGCCCGACGCGGGCTCGAACCCATGAACCGCGAGATCATGACCCAAGCGAAAGTCGGACGCTTAACCGACTAAGCCACCCAGGCGCCCATCAATTTTTTGAGATTGTTAAGGCTCGCTTTATGATCTAACGTATGTCAGATTTAATAACTACTTTTCGTACACGTGAAAAGAACATGTATTTGCTCTTCATCTGCGATGTTCTATGTATGTCAATTAGGTTAAATTTTTAACTGTGTTATTTGAATCTTCTTTGTTCTTACTGATATTTTCCTGTCTAGTCTATTTGTTTTTGTGAGAAATATGCTAAATTTTTTTAAATGATGCACATTTAACTATTTCATTTTGTTGTGTAAAATTTTTGCTTCCTGTATTTTGAAACTGTTATTGGAGGAATACAAATTTAGAAACTGTTCTATCTTCCTGGTGAGTTGAACCTTTTATTATTATCAAAAGTATCTCTGTTTCTGGCAATGGTTTTTATCTTAAATTTTACTTTGTCTGATGTTGTATGGCTCTATCAACTTTCTTTTGGTTAGTGTGTATATGTATATCTTTTCTATCCTTTTATTTTGAATCTTTCCATGTCCCTATATTTAAGACTCTTATAAGCACCTCTGATTAGGTTTTATATTTTGTTTTTATTCAGCTTGACAATCTTTGTCTTTTAATGGGACTATTTAGTATTTATGTAAATGATATATTTATATACTTTAGTGTGCTTATAATTTAAATTTTTTTGTCCACCCCCCCCTTTTTTTTTTTGCTTCTTTCTTCCCTTTTGGATTAATAAAGTTCTTTTATTGTTACTATTCCATTTTCCCTCTCTATTCACTTGTAGGTGAATATACATATATATATATATGTCTTTAATATATATGTCTTTAATGGCTAGCCCAGCAATTAGAGCATGCAAACTTGAATTCTTACAGTCTAATATAACTTAGTACTTTTATCACTTCACTGACAATGCTAGGGCCTTAACACTTCAATTCTACTTATCCCCCCCCCCCACCACCCATTTTGTGTTATTCTATACATCTTTTAGACCACACAATGTAGTATCATTGCTACACTCAATATTCATGTACATTTACCCACATTTTTACTTTTTCCATTGTTATTCATTCCTTTTCATATTTTGGAGGAACCATGTTCCTTCTGTCTAGGGAACTTCATTTAATATCTTTCAGTGTGGGCTTATATGGGATTAATTCCTCCAGGGTCCTTTTGGTCTAAAAATCTTTCCACTATCTTCATTTTTTAGGAAAAATACCTTTTTAAATTGATTTTCAAACTTATGGATATTTTCTCATTTTTAAAGTTTATTTATTTATTTTGATAGAAAGAGACAGAGCACATGAGCATGGGAGGGCAGAGAGAGAGGGAGACAGAGAGAATCCCAAGCAAGCTTCACACTGCCAGTGCAGAGACCAATGTGGAACTTGAACCCACAAACCAGGAGATCATGACCTGAACCAAAGTCAAGAGCCAGATACTTAACTGACTGAGCCACCCAGGGAACCCAAATGTGGATATTTCCAACAACAGTGCAAACAGATCCCATATACCCTCACCCAGATTCCCCAATTGTTCATATTTTACCACTTTTATCTGTCTCTATTAATCTATACTTTTTTCCTGGACAATTTGAGAGTAAATTGTAGACAGGATCCCTCAATACTCTTTAATATTTCAGTGTATATTTCATAAAAAACAAACAAAACTCTCCTACATACCCACAAAACAATATCAAAATCTGTCAACTCCACCAGCAATTTTCTAATCATCCCGATAATGTCTTTTAGGATCCAGGGTACAATCCAGGATCACGTGTTGCATTTACTCACTGTGCCACTTTAGTCTGGAGGAGTTCTTTACTTTTTGCCTTACCTTCCATGACATTGATATTTTTGAAGAGTGTAATCCCTTAACTCTCTACAAAGTCTCTCCTTTTGGGTTTGTCTGATGTTTCCTAACAATCAGATTCAGTTTACGTATGTTTGTCAGGAAAACCACAGAAGTGATTATGTGCTCTTTTCAGTGCATCGTGTCCAGTGGTGCATGGTGTGCATTTTGTGCTGTCATTTGGTTAAGATGGTGTCATGGGAGGTTATCCAGTCTAAGGTTAATAACTATTTTGTACTTAGCAATGAATAAGTATTTTGTATTTATTAATAAGCATTTTGGGGATGATGCATTGGGATATAAATATCCCGTTTCCCATCAAACTTTTACTGATTAATTTTAGCATTCATTGACTTTGCCTGAATCAATGGTTGTGACCATTGCTAAATAACAACTCTCTGATGTTACCATTTGTTGTATATTTATTAGCTGGTATTCTATTTTAAGGTGTAGCTTTTTTCCCTCTATCCCAGCTTTTAAATTCATTTATTTTTTTTGCATCATTATGGATTTACAGAATTAAAAATTTTTTTAATGAGTTATAGTCTATGATTGTCATTGCTTATTTTGATGCTCAGATTTTCCCTGATTTGGGCGAGCATAGGTATGGGTGTTTGGGAGACCAGAGACAGATGGAAGGAGGGAATCCTTTCAAGATGCCCTTACATAATTTAGACATGTTCTCAACATTTTAGAGCACTTCTTTACTTTCAAGAACCACAAGATGTACCTGGTTCATCTTATATTTTCATTGTCTCAGCCCTGGAATCCTCCATCTTTCCAGTGGATTTTTGTTCCTTTTAATGGAAAAGGATATTTAATACACCAAGATCTGAGTTACAAGGTGTGATCATTGCTACAGGTATATCATAGATTCTAGGCCTTCTTGGTAGAAAGAGGTAGGCAACGTTATCCAGTATACATTCCACATAAATTGTATCTGCCTATGTTAAAAACCACAAGTTTACACTGACACCTCCAGTTCCAGCCCAGCACCCTTTCCATGCTCGAAACTCCCTTGACAATGAGAAATCTGGGTCCCATTATCCTCAATATATTCACTTATTTATTTAAGCCCCCTGCATGTAGCTGCCACTAGGCCATATGGTGTCTTTGTATGAGACAGAAAAAGCGATCTCTTCTGAGTAAATCCCACCTTGCCCCAGGAAGCACAGCTTTCTGAGTCAGAGGCTGGGTTTCAGGCCCCACTAACCCCTCAGCCGGCTGCCTTTGTGCAGAGGACAACATTCATAACCTGCAGCAGCCCTGTCAATTTCAGTCTGTGCCCTGACAGTTATTCCATAATTCTTCTTTTAGTATAATTAAAATTTATGTGTGACTCTGACAGAAATGGCACAAATAAAAAGGAGTTTGGGTCGAATAAACCATTTCATTTTATTTTTGCCTAACTAAAGTCTTGTGTGGCTTCTTTAAAGTTAATCGTATTCTTAGGAATAGAAAGCTCAAGG